TGTGTGTGTGTGTGTGTGTGTGTGTGTGATTACACTCCCTGTCTGTAAATAGGTCCCACTCTGCAGCTCCATTGGCTGTGTGCAGGAGAGACAGGAAGAGCAGCACCAGTATCTCAGGGTTTTCCTGGCTGCACGGCCACTCGCTTTCTATTTCCTGTCTCATGTTATAGATAATTTAGACCCTGGCAGCTCCAACAGGCCCAATGTGTTGAGAAGCTCTGAAAGCCTGAATAGCAACCTTTTTGAATGTGTAAATGAATGTGCGATAGAAATAGGTGGAGATAAAAGATCTTGCTCGGATGTGAGCGCATGTTCGATTGCATGTTTATAGAGATAGATGGTCTTAAACAGATATAACGGCCCCCTGTCTCCCATCTCACGTTATTTATTTGCTGAAAGGGTGTCCAGGAGCTATTATAGGACAGGCTAAATTGGAACAACCTCGAGGCCGAGGCTCAGCAAAGCTATTACCTCTAGTCAATAGACATTAATATCCCCATGCTCAATCTTGGCCTCATATGGCGCCGTCTCTGTCCCGCCGAAGCACAGCACTGCTCCACTGGAGTAACCAGAAGGATGGGTTGTAGTAGCCCTATCTGTTTACCCCCGTGCATCAATCCGTCACAGACGAATGAGCAGAGAGGAGCGATGATAGCATTGTGTCACGCAGACATCACTGTGGCCTCGAAAGGAAGTGATGCAAAACAAAAGGGTGGATATGCCAGAGCCGGTGGAGCGAGGTCATGACCTCCATGATTCAGGGACCTTCCTGGCAAATGGCGGATGATCTAAGGGTACACAAGTACATTGATTTGAGGTGGTACACAACATGATGCGGCTCAGCAGGGTACAACAGAGCAGACAGCATCAAAGTCTCGAACAGAGAGGAGCCGGGTCACAGGGCCAAGTCGCCCGTCTGCGGCGCAGCAGCAGACTGGAACCGACGTGAATTTAAAGGGAAGACTGTTAATGTGAAAAATGTCGTGAAAGCACAGACATGGGAAGTGTGAAATTTGCTTAAACACTTAAGCACATTTGCAGACTTTATAACAAATAACAAATAAAGCATTCAGGGCAAGGATGAGAGGTTCAATTAAAGATGACTTCTAGGTACAGATGAAAACAAAAGAGAAAGCGTGGCAGCAGATAAAAGGACTTGAAAGCAGGTTCAATGAGATCCGCCTGAAACATCCTATTAGGTATATCCAATGGATTAGTCTCCTTTGTCTAGAGAAGCATTATGTTCAAACACAAAAACCAGTCTGACTGTTCTCAGTTAAATTTTGCGATTATGAAAGATTTCAGTGTTCATAGACAATTTGACTACAAACTAAAAGCCAGATGATGATATAGGGTTGCAATAGATCACAGGGCTGTGGTGAGCATCTTCTGCTTCTCATTCAGCAGACAGCAGCGTTTCAAATGCCTTATCACTGTAAATCCCAAACCAAGCTGAGGTGTGTGATTCATCCCCCGGAGATAGATTCCACGGACAGATTTCAGGTTTCAGGCGAGCTCTCTAACATGATCCATGTTACTGAAAAAAAGCCTTTGATTTTTCCCTTTTTTTAAAATCATATTCACATTCGTGCCTGCTCCAGGATTTTTTTTGTGTGCTGACTGTTTTTGTTGGAATTTCTGAGCGAGTAATAAAGACCAGTGGAATTCTTGTGTGAGGAATGCTGAGCTAAATAGCCAAGAAATCCAATGCATCAACTCAAAAAAAGGGAGCGGGAGTGCATTCGATATTAGATAAATATTTATTGGTGTATGCCCAGGCAATAAGAAATAGAGGTATGGTGTCGTGTTTTTTTTCCCTTTGCATTTTGGATGTGCCTCCTCACTCTTCCTCACAATTGTATTGGATTTTTGTGATTTTATTTTCTCTGCTCTCTATGCACCTGAGGGTGGCTCCAAATCTCCCTGTCCTGTGCAAATACAAGAATGATCCCTTCATTATAAGGGAGAACAAACATAAACGCCTCATCTGCTTTATCGCCTGTAAGCTAGGTTGAGGATGTAACGGCTGGACAGAGCCATTAAAAATGAGACATTTAGCTGATGCACTTATCTCTAAGTGATCAACAGGAGGGGCCGGCCAGGGGGCTCAGTGTCTTGCTCAAAGACACCTGCACCTCAAAGCAGCTCTGACCTCTGAATTTCAGTTGTCCATCCAGTGGGGCCTTGTTTCCGGTGTTTCCCTCGCTTGTTTTCTGACGGACCAACTTCTTTTCATAATACCACCTGCGAACACAGATTTCTCTTTCTCCGTCGTGTGATTAGATGGTGACCTTGCACGCAGACCTGTCTTACCTGCCCAATTGGACAGTGACCTTACTGGTTGACTGGTCTGTGTTGTGGCGTATTTGTTCCCCGGGAGTATTGATCCCAGGCAGAGCAGCAGTCAATGGAGCATCTGTGGGAGGTTTAGTGTTGCTCTCAGCACTTCAGTTGAAAAGTGTGTTTCTGGGCATGACGCTACCTAAGTGGAAAGGTTCGTCGACACGTGTCGGAAGACATATTTATCAGTAACTAACTAGCCTCGGTAAATAATTTGTCTGTAGTAAATTTCATCTTCAAGCCATTGATTACCATTGTTGCTGTGTCACCCTTGCCGGTGTGTTTTTTTTCTGCCCATCTTTACTCCAATTTCTTTCCCTCCCTCTTTATCTGTCTCGCCACCAATTTAATGTCAGCATCTCTCTTATCCCTCCCTCCCTTTCTCTCTCTTCCTTACCACACAATCGTTCTTTCTGTCCATCTCATGCTTTTCTTTTCCTCTCCCTCCTTTCGGATGCTCTCGCTGGCATTTGAGGCGGCCAGTTTTTGTGCCAGACAGCCATTCCTCAGATTGAGATATCTTGGGTTTTAAAGTCACTCAGACAGATTTAGTATCTTAATGGGGGGAGAGTGGGGGGGGGGGTGCAAGAGGAGCGCCAGTGTTGGGATGTTGGGTGAGGATGGCGTTTTTTGATTTGCTAATTTGAGATTCACTTCACTGCAGTAGGCTGTGCTGTGATGGACAGATAAACAGACTCTGCAATAAATTGAATAAGACTGAGTTAGACTGACACACTATCCTAATGTGACAATCAGCCTCTCAAAAGAGACAGAGACGGAGCTGGAGACAAGAGAGGAGGAGTGTGTTTCTGTCCTCAGCAGGAGAGACAGAAAACTCTGAGGGGAGTGGAAGTATTTCTTGTTTCGGATCTTGTTGGGAGTGAAATGTGTCTTTGCCTAATGTGGTGATTGATTGATGGCCGGGAGACAGATGGACACATAAGTTGGTCATTGCTAGGGAGGAACTACTCAATGCACAAAGACTGATACTGACACCTCACAGAGAAACATACATCAAATGATCAATAGCCCTTCCCCTGTCGACCAGGCCCTTTCCTTGAGAAATAGGCCCGTTGCTTTACAAGGACAAAGCATCTCTGCTGAGAAGTGAGCTGACCTCTCACCATGAACATTGTTTTTTCCAGTGATTTATTCTCAATCCAGATCAGGGCATGTGCCTCCTGGCAAGGCATATTCAATACCAGGTTTTTTTTTTTTTTTTTAAACCAATCTGTATTATTAGACACAACTTTGCATATACTCCCCTCAGACAAAGTCCCCCGAGCCTCACAGACTGTGAGAAACTGGAGTTTGGGCATTGACCCGCTTTTATTTCGACAGAATGAGTTCAAAAATAAAGACAGTATGCTAAAGAAGTTTGGTTTGTCTTCAATGAAAGGACACAGATCACACACATTCAGACTTTCAGACTTAATGCGGCTAATTATTAGTTAATCTGATGTTTTATAAGATTTTGTTGCCTTTCAAAAAATCACTGTTCCTGCTGTTGTTTGTCTCTGCTGCACTTGTCTTGTTGATTGATTGATTTCTTTTATTTCAGGTGATGTTGGAGAGCTTCAAAAAAAGAGTCTCCACAAATCCACCGCTGACACCAAATCTATGCTGATGAGACCACAGAAACGCACAAGTGCCACCGTTTCCTGTTGGAGCTACATGACCAAGAGCTCATCTCTGTCACCAACTTGTGCAAGTGAGGAAAAACAAAAAGATCCACTTGTCTTCAGGCGCCCATTTCTGGGCTGGGAAACATTTAGGAAAATAACAAGCTAAAGGTTATGCATGCACTGCAGGCATAACTCTCCATTCTGCAGCCAAATATATTTGGAAAGAAATCTTTACATGTACAGAGAGTCCCCGCTGCGGTTTGCAAATTCACCATGGCCCAGAACTTTGAGAGTCAAGCTCAATAAAGGTAAAACACACTAACTCTGGCTTAATGCGTTATTGAAGCAAATAAAATGCTTTATTTTCTTCCCTTTCAGATTTACAGTGAATAGTGAAAATGCGGAGCTGAATCCTGGTGGTTCTGTCAGCCAAGAGACTTGATCTGTTTATTCTAATCTTTTGGCGTTTTTGGATTTTGTTTGAGCAGCTTGTGGCCCTCACTCTCACACTGTTTTGGTTTGGTGTGTTAGAGGCTCAACGCTAGACAGCTCAAAATTATCGAAATTACTCTGTAATTAGAGTAAACAGTGCCTTGGGTGGAAATTTTACATAAAATGTCAGAATGATTGACTCATTGGTCAGTTTCAGACACCAATCGTCACTGTTTCCCCAGGAGGTCACTGACAGTGAGGTTCTGTTCAATTAAGTACCACGTAGAGTGAGAACTGAATTATCTGGCATTGTTCAAAGTATGAAGATTGATTATTAAGTATTGCTATGTAATCTGTCTGTATATAAATTGGGAGAATAAATGATTTACTCAGTGTAATGTGTTTGAGGAAGGTTTGTGTTTGGAACGCTATAAGAATCAATACACAACTGTGCAGAACTGTGCAGCTTTCAGCCACTTTTAAATTCAGTTCGACTCAGAATACTTTATTTGTACCTCAAGGGGTAATTTAAGGCTCATTAACTCATCGGTTTGGTTCTTGCAGCCACACAAAGACTGTATGGTGTCTTTATTTGCCCAAGAGCCTTTCACTGCCACCCCTGCATAGAGGAAAATGAAAATGTATTTGTGGTTTGAAAGATGAACAAGAAATAACAATCCTTGAGTGGTGTTCTGTCATTCAAGATAATCCACAGATCTTGTTGTCAGTGTTTTTTCAAGTAGTATTTTCTACCAAATGTTTAACCTGGTTTAAACTGGTTTGATACATAATTTTAGGGATGATTTGGGTGAACTGAACCATCCCCTAATCCCTCCATTTTTTTTTTATAGCTTATCCTTTTGAGGGTTGTGGGTGGAGCTTGAGGGGGGCAGGTCGCCAGCATATCGCAGAGCTGACATATAGAGACAAACAACCATTCACAGACTATTAAGAGTCTCTCGCTAACCTCAACCCCAGTCTGCATGTCTTTGGACTGCGGGAGGAAGCTGGAGTACCTAGAGAGAGCTGGAGTGCCTCATCCTAAGCTGAACTGTAGCTTTACTGTAAATTACAACAATCTCAGCAGACATCTGACTGATTTTCTCACACACCAGGAGAGCCGTGACTGTAACAAGATCAGATGTTCTCACCTTGTACTTGATGCCAGTCCCTGAGACGTACCACTCTTTATAGTGTATGCTAAAGCAATATTATGTAGCACTGAAGCCAATGATCTATCGGGGACACACCAATGGTTTTGGCATCGGTGTTCCCACTTTAATGGTTAAGGTGACCAATCTGCCAAAAAGTTGATTTGTACACTTTTATGTTCTTACACTCACGCTGCCAGTTTCTCTCCCTTTATGTTTTTCAGTGTGGGAGGTGGGTGTTGCTCAGTCAAACATGGGCACGTCAGTCTGGTCTCTGTGATCCAGACCAAGACACCCTGCAGAGCTCCTTCCTCCATCGCTTCCGCCCTCCCTCAGCTTCCTCTGCCTCCTCCTCCTCCTCGTACCTTGTAAAAGGTGGACGGGCCAATACTCCACTTACCCGAGCGCCGTCCGATAGGTGAGGGCGGCGTGGGCTGCGCTGTCATTGGCTGACTGCTGGTGAGAGTGCGATGCGGATTGGAGGATGTCGGGGGACTGGGATGAAGACCTGTGTAAGAAGGCGCTGGTGCTGGTGGAAGAGCTGTGCTTCAACTCCCCAAGGGGCTACAGCCAGAGCGAACGCTGCCAGGAGTTCAGCTACCTGCTGAGAGGTCGCAACAGACTGGACACAGGTAACTCACAGCTTTCAGGAGTGTGCAAAGTACATACAAATACATACAAGTGCAAACCCCCACCAGACATTCAAGCCTTCGACCAAACTTTCAAGATCACAAAGCTACAAAGTTAGTGGCATGGGGCTCATTGGTGTCAGTGGAGTCGCCTGTATATGACTGATTTCAAAGATGAGGTAAACGATTCAGGAGAATGACTGTTGATATTTAAACTGAAGACCAAAAAAATACACCCCTCTTTTCATTGCCTGGTCAGCCCCCCACATGTATTAACGTCTGATCTCAAATACCTGGAATTAGCCAGCACAAACCTTAGCAAATGGGACAACACAATACTGAACTAATTGTGAGCAAATTAAAATGAATGTGCTCGCCTGTCAAACAGAAACAGGAACCTCTTTATCCATCTCAGGTCATGATGGTCTCTCCACTGTTGATGTGGCTCATCAGTGTTGATACAGTTTACAGATGTTCATGCAGGTCTTCATTCACTGCAGTCTGTGATGATGGCACTTAGCATTTGCAAAACTGTGAAAATGACTGTGAACCTCTTGTTAGGTAGCGGTGTTGGCATTTCCACTGAGTAACAGTAATTGTTACCCACTACTGAAACAGTATGTAATCTGAAGCCACTTTTTCAGCTCGTCCTCCCATCCCTCACAAAAATCCTTGCTGCTAATTGGCTGGAACATGTGTCATGCTGCTTGGGTACAGTCCAGCTTTCTTTGTTTTGCAAATATAGAGATAGGGCTGTGTATTTTCTCTACACACAGAATGTAGCTAGTGGACTGTGAGGAGATATCATCAGACTTTGACAAATAAAGTATTGGATTAAAACCGCTAACCCCACCTTTCAGGTTGTCACAAAACTGTCATTGCTGTAGGGTTATCAGGTTATCACAGATTATAAACCATTCTCAGGGCCCCCCTCTTAGCTCGAGCCTCAGGCAATAGCTTGTGTGCACATGTTTCATGAATGTAAAAAACACTTTTATCGCATTTGTTCTCAGAGGATTCCACAGTTTGTCAAGCCTGCCTCATCCTGCCTAAAGCAGTACCCCACTGTAGTAGTAAAGGGTCATCTCCTGCAGACTTGAAAGGTGGTTTATAAAAGCAAGTAGTGTCCTCTGTCACTCAGAACAAAGACTGTGGTCAGCTGGATTCATGTCAGTTGGAATGTAAGCTTTAACAATGGAAGAGGTGTGAAAACGTCCAGAGGAGCTTGTCAAACATCTCCTGATGTATGAGCGGCTCTGGGAGAGACATAACCATGAATTTAACAGACACCTTTCAAGCCTGCAGGGGACGAATCTTTGATACGAAAAGATTTGGGGTATCACTGTTACTGATTACTCAGAACTGTAGTCTGGGCTTCAGCAGAGATTTCTAGTTTCCCACGCCAGTCTGAATTTAATGCTAGTGATTTTGTGGTGGAAACAATAATACTCAGAATACTCACACAAAACTTGAAGAGAACATTACCTCTTGTGGAAACCCACAACATGAGTGTATGTTAGACTTTCAGATATGAAAAGGCAAATGTGAAGAGGAGTGCTCATGTTTAAAGATGGTTAGAAAAACTCTGCACTCAGAACAACAAACTATGAAATATTCATCTGATGGCAACGGTACAAGTCCATCCCATTTCTTTTACGAGCCTCAAAAGAGTCTCAGTAGAATCCGGAAATTGTTATCACAGAGCTGGGTTAAGCACACACACATTTATATATATATTTATATATATATATTCTTTTTTTACCAAACTAGGCAGATGGATGTTGCTGCATTGTGGAGTGCACCGTGTGCAGAGTATTGTGTGGGTTTTCATTGAAGCATTTGGAAATGCAATGCGTTGTTATGCAGATTAGCATGGATATCTGTGGCTCAGTGTAGATTAGCCTGGATTGGCTGCGTGTTGCCTCTGGAGATTTGGATGGCTCTGTGAAGAAATGGCACACCGTGGTTTGAGGCGTTGCCCCCCCTTGCTCGCCAGCTGTGATTTTTTTTTTTTTTTTTTGGTGTTTGCTGACGGAAGTCTCCGAGCCCTCCGAGGACTGCGACCGCCGAAAGCTGTCAACGAATGGCTTGTGTAAGCAGCAGAGAAGTGTTTGATGTGGAGCAATGTACAACTCCCAGTGGGCTTGCATCAGTCGCTGATTGACAGCGAGTTTCGGTCGCTCTTCGCGGTGCACTTCAGAGGCCTCCATCCCACCCACCTTCCCTCCCGCTGACTCGCTCTTTATGCTTTGTGGATTAGCAATGGATCTTTGGCAGGATCAGTGCTTGGGAAGGCACAGCGACTGCCCTAAAGAGAGACAAATGGAGGAGAGTGGTTTGGCCTCCGACAGTCCCTGTGCACGTTTGATCACAGTCGCGTCTTATCAGCGATCCCTGATCTGCCAGCCACATTCAACCTACTCCTCTGCCTCCTCGCTGTGTTTTACCCCCTCCAGATCAATACATTAACCTTTCTCATCCTTAAACCCCTCCCCTCTTTATGTTTTGCTCTAAATCATTGTCAAGTCTTTCTCACATGCTGTGGTAGTAGGATCGACTTTATCAGTCCTCCCCCTTTCTTCATCCACCTCTGAGGAAACAAGAAAAGGGAATAAACCCAGTCAGCTTATATGTCTGTTCCAACATGTGCACCAATCCATTTTCACCCCTCTTTTCCATCTATCCCAGCCCTGCAGGCCATTCTCTGCTCTGGATGGTTTTTTTTTTCTTTTCCTCCATTCCAATTCATCACTACTGTCCTTTCTTCCCTGATTGTTTTTCTACCTAGTCCCTACCTTCCTTTGCCTGCTTTTCCTTTCCTTGCGCTCCATCACTTATCCCTCGCCCTGTCTCCCAATCTCCATCGTCACGTACTGTCTTGCCTCCCTCTCGTTTTCCCTGTTCTCTCCTGTTCCATCCCTTGTTGCTCACTTCCCACCCCTCCGTGTTCTCCACCTTGACAGATCGATGTCCCCCATCGCCCATCCCCCATCTTGCCCCCCTCCCCCCAATCATATCTTTTGAACAAGTGCTGATTAATGACATACACAGACTGATGAATAATTCACACTAGAGAGAGCGAGGAAAGGGAGGAGGTAGGGGTGACAAACAAAAGAGACAGTCGCCGTGGAGAGGAATAAAGTCGGAGTGTGCAGAGGCAGACAGCATGGGAGAAGAAATGACAGCGAGGAATGAGGGGTGTATGAGGGAATTATACTGAGGAGAGTGTGAGAGAGAGAGAAAGAGAGGCAGGGGCGTGTGAAGACGGAAGCGAACAAAATTCCAGAGGACGTACCCAAGGGCTGGAGGGTTTACTGCTGCTGTCATGTTTTCATTCTGTCGCAGATAAAACTTAATTCTCTTTGTGTATGATTTAACAATGTTGTTGTCATTCACTCTGAATTGGAGTTAACGGAAGGAAAACCGGTTCAAGAAAAGGAGGCATTTGTGTGAAACTGTAAAACCGTGTTGCGGTAGTGGGAGGGAGGGTTCAGGAAACATTATCCTCTGATGTTAAGTACACTACAGCAATGATTGGCCTGCCCACAGACTGGAGGAATTGTTAATTAGTGGCCCCCTGTCTGGACGCAGCCCAAATGGCGACAGGGAAAGATCCCCATTAGACGCTGTATCTGTATCTTCTCTTCCTGGTATACTTACATAGACTATTAATGTTCAGGAACATGTGTCTAGATTTCATTGGGGGCTATCATTGATTGTTTTTTTATACAACCATAACATGCTATTCATAAAGGAAAATACTTCAGAGGAATTATAAATATTCATTGTATATTTTGTCTATTTATTTATAAGCCTTCACAGAATATTTTTAGGGCTTTTACCAATTTATGAATTCATTATGCATTTACATATGATACGCTCCGACACATGCAATCGTGTCCTTCTAAACCACAGAGTGAACCACAAAAGGTTCCCGAGCTCTGGAGCTGACGTGGACTCTCTTTCATTCCTGTTGCTGGAGCTGTCCAGCAGTCTGGTGCTGAAACGGCGCTTTTTTCTTTTTAGTAGCCTACTTTTTTTTCCTCTTCCATTTGGATGAGTCATACTCCACCCTCGCAAACACCCACATCCCCACCCTCGCAAACACCACCCCCTACCCCTCAGACACAATCCTTGAGCCGTCACAGATTAAAACGCTCATAACCATGAGGAAATGCAGGACGACATTGAATAGAGTCTGCGGGGGAACTGCGGGGGTGTTGGTATTTCTTTCTTTTTTTAAATTATTTGTGAAATCCCCCTCATCCCATCTCACCCTCCTCACCTCCTCTCCTCCCCTAATAATATCCACTCCACCGACGTTTGCCCCCATTTTAAGATCAGGATTTAAATGTGGGATATGAGCTCCTTGGGATGGTTGCATTATATCATTTTATAGCCACTGCAGGTTCCCTCTGCTGCTCCACAATGTGTGATTTTTAGATCCAGCAGTTGTGGTGAAGCGGCTGTGTGGTTTACAGTTGATTTGAGGCATATGCTCTGCATAATGTGTAAATGTGTAAATACAGGACACATACTCACTGGCAGCCCAGCAGCATGGGATTGTGTTGTAACTCTTTTGGCTAGTCAGTCCACCGCTTCCCTTCGGCTAGATGGATTGAAAGGAGTTTCACATTTGTGGTTTTTACCATGGACTCACACGCATGCGTTGCCTCGACAGTTGGCATGCCCAACGCCCAATGCCAGTGAGATTGTCTAACAACACCAATCACAGTCTCATGCTTAGGACAAACCATAGCCAGGTTTCAAGCTTACGTGCCATGCTAGCTATCAATGCTAAAGAGAAGTACACAGGAATTAAAATCAATTAAAATCAATTCACAACTAGACACACAACATGTGTAAATGTGATTGAATTGGCTTGTACCTGTGCTTGATTGTTTGTTTACATATAATTTGATTAGCTCAAAGGTAAATGAATATGCGAAACAAAAGAAACGCATCCATTAGGGGATCAGACACCAACGCAGGACACATACATGTGCATTGGAGGCTTCAACTGAAACGCTGCTCATTCACTTGCCGTCATGTCGCAGTTGGTAGCTGATCTGTTTCTGAGATGTTTTTCTTTCTGTGTGAATATAACTTTTTAATCTGTATTTCCTCGCCTTTACCTTCTTCCCTTCTTTTGCAGAGATCTCTGTCAGTCTGCTGTCGGTCATCGTGACATTCTGCGGCATCGTCCTCCTCTCCGTCTCCCTCTTCGTCTCTTGGAAGCTCTGCTGGCTGCCATGGCGGGACAAGGAGGGCGGAGGCCTGAGCCTGACGTCAGGGCTGCTGCCCGGAAGCGCCGGCGTCGGAAGCCTCGGAGGCACCGGGGGGTCGTCGCTCTTGCCGCCTCTGCTGCAGAGGAAGGAGGGACACTCTTCATCCTCGCTCTACCCCTCCCTGGGCCAGCAGGGCCAGCACCACCCCCACTTCTCTGACCTGGTGGGGCTGGAGAGGGGGGAGGTTGGAGGTGTGGCTGGGGGGCCACAAGAGACCCAGGAGCATTCCTACCTGGACATGGACTCCTACCCCAACAACGCAGGTGAGAAATGAACCTGACATTAGACACTGTTCATCCCAGTCTGACTGTGAAGCTTTAGCTGATAACTTCTCATTTTAATAAACTCACAGCAGTGAATTTAATACATTTATCTACATGCAGTAAAAATAATTTACCTGTGCTGCACCACTGTGATGCATGCTGATCATTATTGTTCATATAAATGGGTTTTCTTTCAGTATATATACATTCAAGTACTATCACTTTTTCACCTTACTGGCCCAGTTTCTCATTACAGAAATTTAGTTATGCAGAAGTAAAAAGTTTAAGCTACAACAAATATTGCCTACATTTCCAATTGAAGGATGAATTTGTTTATTCCTTAAGGCTGCATTATGATTTTTTGGCAGTAAGCTGCAGCTAACAGACTCCCAGACTGATATACAATCACCTCACAAGGTTGTTGGATAACGTGTTTGCAGTCATAAGACGTGTGGACACCTGATGATGATAGCCCCTCCTTTCACTTTCCTTTCAGCTTTGCATTGGTCTCTGTGAACTCCAGAGAAAATATGGCTCTTTAGCTACTAAACGTTTACCTTTCTTCACCATTTAGTTTTATCAGAGCTTGTTTGCAGAACACAGCTGCCTGCTGCTGCTGCTGGAAACGAGGCTGATGTGAGCAGTGAAACTGAACCGAAGACTAAATGTGCCCGAACAATGAGCTCGCCAAAGCTGCAGCATTGGCCCATAATTCTGTGTGGGTTTGTTACTACAAACAACCCCTCCACATTACACAAAGTCATTTGATTTAATCGTCAAACATGAGAAATACATACTCAGATTTATAGCTGCATTAGCTGGTCTACATCAAGCTGCTTTATGTCACTTCACAGTTTGATGACTTCTCCAATGGGAGAACTGGCTTCTTTCCCTTGTGTTACATGATTGTATTTTTAATATTATCTGTTTCTGAGCTGTTGTGTGGACAAAACAAGACATATTAAAAATATAAGAAAAAGTTTCACTTGCATTCACTTGCTTTAGGCAGTTTTTTATGACTTAAAGACCAAGCAGTAAAAAGAGTTATTACTTGGAGCTGTCACACAAATACACATAAATAAATTGATTCCCTATGAGATTGTCTGCATTAAGCATGTACATGTTGGTGTGTTTGGAATAGGCCACAAAAGTCCAACATCAACCCAGAAAATTACAGCAAATGTCCCAGTAAAATGAAGTTTTAAACGGAGGGGCCCAGGCAGCAGCTCTGAGTTGATTCTGTTGTTGTATTTGTGCTGGCTGTCAACACCATTGCAGGTTGTTTATCATCGCTCACAGTCAAATATTTGCTGGCTGTCTGTATTGCAGCTGGATATTCGCTCTTTTCATGTCTCTGGGTTGTACTGCGCTCAGGCTGGCTCATGTTCTGCTGCTGTAAATACGTCTGATCATTTCTCCCCTTCTCTGCGCTGTTAAATCAGTGTCTGTTAAATCAGTGTAATAAAATCAATGAGATCAATGATGCCACCCCCGGGTTACGAAAAGACACATTGCCTATGCTGTTAGAGTCGCTGTAACAAGCGTCTCCAGAGCAGTGCTCACAAAAGAGAACGATTTTACCTGTTTTCTCCCTTCGGTAGGAACTCTGAAGCTGAGTCAGACGTCTCCGGATGTGCCCAACTCAGAGGGTGGAGCCCACCCCCCAAAAGACCTGCCCAACGCTCATTCCCAGCAGCAGGTCACCCCACGGTCAGTGTATCATTTTTATTCAAATCCAGAAGTTTCTAGTTGTGTGTTGCTTTTAAATCAGAGATGTAACAGTGAATAAAACCCGGGTTCTGTATCTTGCTTCCCTCTAATGAACACTTCTTTCTGGGTCTGTAAAAGCAAAACATCCCTTTTGTTTTGTGCTCCTCCAAATTGGTGTCATCTTGAACAACATATTATTTCTATTTTCAGATTTTTGAAACCACAGCTACAGATAATTCAACCAAGTTCATGCAGCATATTCTGATGTTTTGTTCTGGGTTATTTGTGGTTTTAAACTCAGAACCAACATCACACAACTAATCTAAAGTTCAGTGCATGCAGGTGTAAAAATGGTGTGTCAACTCTTTTGCAAATGCAGTGTAAACAGTGGGAAAACTCATTTAGATGATTTTAGCCTCTAGAGCTCTGATTAAGCTGCTGAATAACAGAGTTTGTGTGTGTGTGTGTGTGTGTGTGTGTGTGTGTGTATGCTGTGCTCTTTATTTAATATTCACCCTCTGAGCTCTTATGTGTCTGTTTAGGCCCAAGCCCATGACTCACCAGCTCTCCAGTCCTGATTTCCATGGTGAGGAGAAGGAGCAGGTCACCAGTATTGGGCAAATCAAGCCGGAGCTCTACAGACCCAAGGGCGACCAGGGCGAAGGCAAACAGGGCGACACCTGCGGCAAGATCAGCTTCCTCCTGCGCTACGCCTTTAAGTAGGTTTACACCCGAACAACCGACTCCTCTGTAAACATTGTAGAATTCTAACATACATCAATAATTACAATAAATCATTGTCAGATATAATTTCAAGAACTAAAGTTTTACCTGCCAAGATAAGGGCTGTTACAGCACAGCCATGTTCACCTAAAGGTGATGCATCATCATCATTATCAATGTTAGTGAAAAACCTTTCTGTGTTGCCTAGGAGCTAGATTCACAAAACAGGCTCTCATATATTTGAGGCTTGAATACTCTAGAATCTAAAATCACAAGCCACAACAGAGTTACCAGACATGATGTTGTTGTCATTATCCTCAGAGTTATAAAGAGGAAAAATGATGTTGACTTGAAATTTTTCGGACTAAAAATTACTTAACAAATAACTACACCACTGCTGCTTTTTTCAGGAGCGGCTGTATGTGAAAGCACAAATGTCTGAGTCAGTTGTCCTGGACATTTTCTGGAACTTTTCCTGCCAGCCCCCTTGTTAAAGGTCTGGAAAATGTCTCAGTGAGCAAGTGGGTGTGTTGATGACATGTCAAACACAAAACAGGCGCAAAACTCGAAGAGTACAATTATGTCAGGATGAAATGCAGATGTCATCTTGGAAAGACAATGAGATTCGAGAGCTTTTGGTGAACATGTCTGATCCAGATTATCTCTTGCTGTGTTCTTCATATGTGAAAGACAAAGTCTAAGTAGTTCATATCTGAAAATGGCTTTGGTTGCATGCTGGAAGATATTTTACCGAAGTGAAATACACTCCTGGGGTTAGGTTTTTTCTAACTTTGCCATATATGAACAAATGTGTGGTCTCGATGTGATCTACGTGACTTGTTCGTTCTGGTTTTACTGAATAAGGGAATGCCTTCCTGCACGTTTGGCAGGTCCAATCAATTTCGTTAGAGTTCTTTGGAATAAGAGAAAACAGAAAATGTCTGAAAACAGCTTGGGAGTCTACAGGTGTGTTAGTGAGCTCTAGTGTGAAGCTGTGCAGCGGTGCTTTGAGCTGAATGCTCACATTAGCATACAAACATGGAAACGACTCACTGGTTTCAGTATTAACAATTAATCATTTATTAACAAAGAAACATGGGACCAATGTAATTACTCTATTGGTTTATATTCAGGCTACTAGTTTGAATTATTTTAATTAATTTTGGTATTACAGTAGGATCTAATTATTATACTACCCACAAGCCATTGCTGCCATTGCCACGGCGAAGAAGCCAGAAACTTGAATCCAAGCATTTACAAAAGACTGGTAAAGGTAACATAGCACTTAGTTGAAGAATTCCTCCATAAATGATGCAGAATTAAAAAATGAACAGATTTAAGCAGCATCAGTTTTCTCAGCAGAAGTCACATTCAGCTGTCGCTCGGCTTATCGGCTCATGTTGAAGAATTTTGGGCTCAGTGATTAGATGCACCTTGGGAGTCACTGATAATGTTTATCTCTGTGTTTTTTTTATGTACACTCTAATGTACCTTTGACTTTTTATCACAGAGCCTCATATATTCTATCGCCAATGCTTTCTGGCCAACACTGCCGTCCATGGAGTCGTAGCGGGCCAGAAAAAATATCAACAAACACATAGTCAGTATTGTGTGGGATACAGTGATAGCAGAACAATGTGAGGAGAATTTAAACCTTTAAACGAGATCTGAACACCGTTGGATGAATCCAACAATGGGTGTTACTGCCTACACTATAGCTTTGCGTGTCTGCGGTGAATGTTGATGCATCTGTTTTTGCACCACTTTGATCACACTTCTTCAAGCGCTTAAATCAAAGGCCGGTAGCAGACACTGGTGTTACTGCGTCTCTTTATGGCACACAACAGAGAGAGCAGGGTGGCTCTTGGGAAAATACCTTTCAGCGTGTTTATTCTCCGCACTTCATCCTTACTCTGAAAAACACAATGGTGGCATTAGATGAAGCTCAAAGGTGATCTTGTGTGTTTGTAATATCAATGTAGAATTAGTCGATCAATACAAATATATAAGGATGAAAACGACGTAGGAGATGACAACAATGAATTTGGAAAAATGTTCCACCCCCTTGCCTGAAGTCTTCCAGATATTTTCCTGTTCAATATGTTTCACCAGCACGATCTCCTGCTGTGCTCCTCATATGTGAAAGACATTCTAAGTAGTTCATGTCTAAAAACTGCTTTGGTTCCATCTGGAAGATCATTTTTGACTGGCTTTTCCCAGTGAATTACACTCCCTGGGGTAGGTTTTGCGAAGTTTGCCACATATGAACAAATGTGTTGCCTCCGCCACCCATTGGCTTTTTCGCAAGAAATGTAGACGTCAGAATTGATCCATCATGGCCTGCCTCTTGCATGCTCTACTCAGACATCAACCCTCACTTGAGGGAAATGTTCCTTTGGTTTGAACAGGTCTGACCCAGACAATCTCCCGCTGCGTTCTTCACTAGACACACAAAAATTGAGTTTGTTACACTGATTGGATTCATACTCATTCTGAACAACAAAATTGAACATGTTGATTGTATGAGACATGGCTCAAATGTGGTCTTGTGTGTGCTATAATACAAAATTAATCAATGAATGTTTAAGGATATGAAAGTGGTTCTATTAAATGTAAGAGACATAGCAGTGTTAATGTCTTTTATGTGCTGTGTGGCACAGATTGCTGTAGTTCCTTTCATTTTGCTCCTTTGAGAATTCTCCGTTGAACATTTCCTGCTGGAGAATTTGGGTCCACGTAAGTAAGTAATTGGTTAGGTTCCATGCTGTGAGGACTGTGACGATGTGTGTTCGTACTGTGAGTTGGGGCGGCTGTGGCTTGTGGGGAAGAGCGTGCAGCTCGCTGTCTGCAGCTCAGCTGGCAGTCGCCCATTTTTTGCCTGCCCCGACATGTAGAAACATTACAACAGGCGAAAGTGCTGATGGTCAGAAAAGAAAAGAAGCGAGAGGCCGTTTCAGGCATGAATTATAAATGGGGAGCCACTTTAAACAGCAGCCCCTGTCAACACATAATAACAGCAGACTGTGTTATAACCGGAGCTACAGACATAGAGAATTAGCAGGAGGGTTGTATGGAGAGGGAGGGTAATGATGAAAACTGTTCATGTGTCCTTTTTTTCCCATTTATAAAGTCACAGGATAATTTATGTCGTGCTGTAGTTGCCTGCATGTCATTACACTGGAGGGGAATTGTTTTAGTGAGAGGAGTAGGACCGAGCGAGCAACTGAGGAATAAAGGAGAAAGGTTAGAGATGTAGCTGCAAGACGAGTGTGTGCTTATGTGTGCAGATACTCACGTGGAGGTGTGTTAGTGCTGGGACTGTGATAAGATTGGTATGTTAATGTGTGAAACCCCGCTGTCGGGAGCAACAGTCAGAACAACAATGTCAATCTTCCTCAGCTCCTCTGGGAAAGGCATTTCTATTGACAATCCCATTAAAAGCTGACACATTTCCACTGTGCGAATAGCGAGCTTTCGGGCATTGTCCACCAGGAATAAGGCTGTGCTCAAGCAGTCACAGGTATGTTCTGTGCAGTATGCCTCAGAGATTGTGTAAAAACGGTGGTTTTGTTTCAGACTCCTTGTTCTGTAATGAGACACGTGAGTGCAGGGAAATCTGCAACAGTGTCTCTGTAGCAAACAACAACAGCTGCAGGAAATTTTTGCAATGATCAGGAGAGAGGTGTCTCTTTTTGTTGTGTACAAGCTTTCTGTTGTGTCGTGTTATTATACATTCAGCACTGGTGATGGCTGAGTCTTCACAACCAGCATGTCACAAAATTATACTGGATTAAAACATCATTAGACACATAATTGAATTGGTCAGGGTTTTTTAGTTCAAATATTTCTCTGGCTGAGCTGGAAATGTAATTTCCGGCTCCAGTTTGCTCTGTACATCACCTCCCTGATTTGATGTGATTGCAGAGTGGGCATGTTTGTCTAATTGCCTTAATTGGATGATGCAGAGGTAAACACGTGCAGCGATTGGCCACGCTTGTTTTGTCAACAAGCTTCTTATTCATGGTCGGTACTCGGTGCACAGAAGACATTACCAGCGCCAGGGTCACTGTTGGTGTTTGCCCTACTGATCCTTCCTCAGCCCTGACGTTCACGCGGCACTGCTGCAGCAGCTAATGAAGTGCTGACACACTGGTTAACACAGGGAGACACAGTCTAACGAGGTCTGATTAAAGGCCTCCGAGCCGTCTTCATCTTCATCTGGTAATTAAATACATAACAAACTGCGCGTGAGACACAGACATCAGTGTGAATGGAACGGTCGAATGTAAACATGTGTGTGTCGGCTCGCTCATGTATGTGTTTATGCAGGCACACAGACTTGCAGTCCTGCTGCAGTGCTTACATGTGCATTTGTGTATTTGCTCAGTTTGTTGCTTTTAGGGCCAATAATGCTGCTGTTATATATTGTTAGTTAATGTTCACATTTTCATTCTTATGGCAAAAATATATATGTAATATTAATAATATATGCTTTTTTTTCTTGGCAGTGAAACAGCACATTGAGCATAAGTAAGAGTTTGCCAATCATAGAAAAAATGTAAATGCATAATTTCATTTTCATATGAGTCTGATCTGAATATCTTTGGGACTTGGATAAATATATATACATATATATATATATATATATATATATATAAAATTCATCTAAAATTGTACTTGTTCTGTCCTTTACCTAACTTCTACTTTCAGTCGAGCTGCTAGTTGCAAATAATGTCCTACTAAATCCTTCATTTGTAAATCCCTTCTTCCTCAAGGCTCACAATTTATCCACCAAAGTCAAATATTGATACCATTGATAATAAAATATTGGAAAATAATTAACTGATGAACTTTCTTTTGATCAACTAATTAACAAGTCTTCTCATCTGTATTCTTGCACATTAACAGCTGTTTGCATGAAGTTCAAAGGGACGATAGAATAACAGGTACCATGTTCAGGATTACTAATGAGCTCAGTTTCACCAAGGCACCGTCTCACTGTCTGTAAATCTATGCTTACATTTAACATAGTGCAAGCATACAGCTGCAGGAATGACGCACACAAACACACAATAACTATTTTTGCTACTATTTGCTCCAGAGACACAGCACCACCCACGCTATTATGTGTGCGTAAAGCCCTGCTCAGGTGTTAGGGAGTGTGGGTTGATCCTGTCTGGGTTGCATTTGTGTATTTTTGTAATTTTGTGCGCCCCCCCCTGCCTTTTTTATGAGCATGTGACAGTCTAATAGAGTCTTCTATTTGTGTTTTTGCTTCTCAGCACGGAGCAGTTGGTGGTGAAGATCCTCAAAGCTTTGGACCTGCCAGCGAAGGACGCCAACGGCTTCTCCGACCCGTACGTCAAGATATACCTACTGCCAGACAGGAAGAAGAAATTCCAGACCAAGGTGCCTCCCACTCCCAAAACATTCACCTGTATCCTGGCTGTTAAACAAAAAAAACACACCCCCACATTAACATACTTTAGCCGTGGTCAGATGTGAGTTGCTGTTTTCCTGTGGCACTGATGACCCAGCCTCCTCCTGGGGAATCATTTCAGGTCCACCAGGGTAATCTAATATAATCTAGGGCATAATTTATTCAAGATAAAGTGCTTCAGACTATTACAGGGCACTGATACTCATCTCCACTGTGTTATTCTGGTGTTTGAGGACAGCTGAGTCAATATTTGAGTGCTTTCTGGGATGTTCTGTACCAGGAAATGTACCCTTAGCCCTCAAAAAAATCTCTCTCCAAATTTAATTTCTGTTCAGAGGCTCAAGGCATGTGAGCTCAGTGGCTTCACAAATAAGAGTTGTAGTTCTCTGTTGTATATCTATAAATATGGGTGTTTTTTACAACCTTGGAATAGACCTGGGAGAAATCCTGAAGCTGAAAAGGGTCAGAATTGAACTGTAATGCAGGGAAGACTGTAAAGTGTCTTTCAGTGATAATGGAGCTGCACCAGTTTGAAAATTCCTCCCTCTGGTTTTTATTCCCCCCTTTGTGCGAATGTCTCCTGTAAATCACAAAAGCCATTGAAAAGCATGAATGCCTCCTTCATCTGTATAACACGACTCCTCTTTTTAGATAGAATTTAGACAATTGTTTAACTTCAATCTCGTCATTAACATGGAATTCTTTCACCATTCATACTGCCATGCTTTCATCCATCAAAAGCGACATAGACATCACCTAGTAGACGTTGGAGCTTTGTGTTTCTGGTTTCTAAAGGCGTGGCATCTCTGTCAGCTGCTGTTTAATCCAAAGCTAACAAGTAATCATCGAGTGCTAATAAGCCAGAGTGACAGACCCACTTATGCAGCAACAAAAGTTGGATTTTGAATATCAAGTGTGTCGCGCTTTAATTATCGCCAGCTTTATTGCATGACGGCATTTGCACCAAATGATTTCATGGCACCTAAATCCCACCAGTAAATCAGCAAATACTAAAAAAAAAATCGTGCAGGAGACTGAATGAGATTGAAGACAAATTTGCAAATTTCATCTGCGACGTGCTTAAATATGATGAGTAGGAAATTACAGCAGCTTTCTTTCCATCAGGCTTATACCCTGATTTATCCGTTTTATTTGACTTGTTATGGAGGCGACAGACGGAGAAGTCAGAAAAAAGGAACCACTGAGTCACAATAAGGCGTAAACTCTTGTAGGGTAAACATAGTTACCTTTTGGAAACATTGAGAAGAAAGAACGTCCTCACCTTGAACTTGTCTGGGAAGAAAATTTTGAGTTTTGAATTTAGTTTCAGGTCTATATTTCATTCAAGCATGTTTGATTGGATATTTGGTCCCACATGAAAAGGTGAAATTTACTTTTCTCCCTGCGGCTGAGGAACAAGGTCAGCCTGTGCACTGAAGGTTAATTATGTTGCCGGAGGACATTTCAGTCGGCACAGCCGCTCTATTAATCAAACCTTTCCAGAATGTTCTGCATCTTGATTTGTTATGTTTCTGAGGGAATGCTGCTCAGTCAATTTAAAATACACAGTCATGACATTTACATGTGATAATATCTCTCCTGTTGCTTTCAGCACAATGTGATTCATCCCGCAGGCAGTTAATCAAAGTTTTCATATTCACACTGAGTCTGTGTTAAGGCTTTGTGATATGTGAGGAAGTGATGCTTTCTATGTTTCCTATTTGTTTTCTAGTCAGGTGAAAAAGAGCTAGGTGGTTTACAGGAACAGAAAACAGGAAAAAATGAAAAACACCACTTATGGAAACCCAAATGCAGCGATACAGATTCAGATTCAGCACAAGAAACATAACAGCAGTGAAAGATTTCACAGAAAAGCATTTTGACCAACTGCAGCTCTGTTCTGTGCTTCTCAGGTAAAGTGCTGTTTTCACAAATGAGACTCTTGCATTGATAGCTACAGATTTTAAAAAACTCCGTCAGCTCGTTTGACAGCAGTAACTGCGTCTGTGAAGACACGTCCATCCTCAGTGACTCCTCGGTTCTACTGCAAAAAGCATCGTTTTGTTGAAGAAATAGAGACGAGAAATCCACTTAACTGCTCAGCAGATGGAGCTTTTTTTTCTTTGAGGATCATGGATTGTGTCTTCAAAACAGCGTCGCTCTCATGTGTCAATGCAAAGTCTTGAATGTAAAAGCAAGGGTTACAGGAAAAAAACATAAAATAAGTGTATTTTGTATCTGTGTAATAGGGACAATAAAATATTGATATTGTATGTTAGTAGAAGGGAATAAGAAGCTTTGTGAATACCTATCAAACTTCATTTATATGGCACCTTTTAAATAAATCAAGTGCAATTCAAAGTGCTTTACAGGTGATTGACCAAATACAGGATCATAAAATGATTTTAAAATGAGTTATTTATTAGATACTAGTGTATCCAAAGCAATGAATGATAGGAATGACTACAATTACAGAAAAATAAGATGATAAAATAATAAATAATGGTCAATGCTAAAGCTTTTGTAAAACAAAATTGAATAAAATCGTCATACTCATGATTGATTGATTGCAGATGCACATATTCTGCAAGGATATGAAGGGTGTACCTTGGTTGTAGCTATGAACTGGTTATTTGTAATAAGAAGTACCCCAGGCCAGCTTTAATGTTCTTTAATATTATCTGATCATAAACAAAGGGTCCACACGTGCAAAGATAAAGTTTAATGGATAACATATATTCATTAATTCAACAGAAAATATCAATTTTCTCTATGTTTTACCAGTTTTTAAAACATATGTATGAGCAATTTCAGTGTTTTTTTGTCATTACTGTTTATAGAACTTCAGAGTCAAAAGAAAGCACTTTGAAGTTTGATGTGGGTGAGCTGTAAAGTGAAATAATTGTATTAGGAAAGGCAAGTGATCATTACAACCCTTTCACTGTAAAATATTGTCGCTGGTTGTTACCCTATGATACCCTGTCCTAATGCCCCCATACCCACAGAGCACTACCCTGGTATGTTCAGTGTTATTCTAAATTGTCACGGTGTCTGTCTCCTCTCAGGTTCACAGAAAGACCTTAAACCCAGTGTTCAATGAGACATTTCAGTTCGGCGTGCCGCTGAATGAGCTACATTCCAGGAAGCTGCATTTCTCTGTGTACGACTTCGACCGCTTCTCCAGACACGACCTGATCGGCCAGGTGGTGGTGGACAACCTGCTGGACTTCAGCGAGGGCAGCGGGGACAAACCCGTCTGGAGGGACATCGTGGAGGGCACCGCGGTAAGGAGGAGATGCCCGCTTTAGATTTGATTAGATCAAAAATGAAGGAGCCTTGAGGCGAAATCAGGCCAATGCGGTCGCAAATAATTTGGGCTAGAACAGTGAGAAAAAGATAGAAAGAGGGAGGAGGCATATCAAACATGACACAAGTGATGGTGTCAGTTCCAGATTCCAAGTAGAAATGCATTCCACAACATTATGAAAATCCAACTGAATTATAGCTTTAATGGGAAAGCAAAATGGTAAAACTGGAAAGATGAATAAAAGTACAATTATTTATGGCAGTGTGACGACAATTGGTAAATAAAAACACGTGTGTGTATTTAACATGATAAAGAATATGAAGATATGTGTTGACAAAATTGCCCTATATTCATATTAGAATAGCTGTATGAAGGATATACAGTCCATGCGTACCTGTTCTTCATTATTATAGTATTTAATTTACCATGTAAACTCATCCTGTTATAGCAGAGGTGACTCAGTGGGATATAATAAACAATTAGATACTTTACAGAAATAAAGTCATGTCAAAATATCAAGTTGCTCAGATTTTTGAAGTTCAGCCACACAATTTAAGATTATTTTTTGGGACATTTTATGAAATAGGCATAACGGTTGGCTGTGTTCAGATGGTGGATGTGCAGAGAGGATGCTCATGATTTTTGCAGTCTAGAAATTGCCTGCAGTGGCCTATGGATTAATTCAGAGGCTGCTAAAGTGAGAAACCAGCTCCGACAGATTACTGGAAAGGCACTCCTGACCACGTTCAAACTTTATATCAAGCGGTGTCCAAGCAGATTTATATGAAATACTCATAGAAGGCTATTAGCAAATTAGATAGAGCAAAGTCTTAAAATGTTTTGGCAAAGGCATTTCATTTATTAAATAAGTTTAAAACACTGGCGTCTCAGTGTATTTCAGTGTTTCACTCGGGGAGATATTGATTAGTGAGGCTCAGAGCGGCCGAGGAGTCATCACGCTGCAGTGTGACCCGAATATCACCGGTGTCATTAACGTTGTGGCACTGAGACCACAGGCGGCGAGGAGATCAGTCGATGGGAGTGGAGGGAGGGATTTAAAAATCCTGGAGAATCGTCACCTCTACTTAACACTTTCCTCCACTCGGGGCCATTGACAGATTGGCATATGATTCATTTACAGTGAATCCACACACACACACACTCACACACACAAAACACCAACGCTCTGCCTGTCCACATTAGGACGCCTGCTGTCACTCGGCGTCAGTCACAGACATACAGCAGCTCTTTTCAAGCAACACACAATCATTGAAAACCAAGGGATGTCTGCCCGTTTTTTTTTTCCAGTGTCTGTTACTGATAAGTGTGTGTGTGATGTCAGTGTCCCTGCTCCATTTCTGATCCCCAAATCTGTGTGTGTGTGTGCATGTGTGCATCATGACCCACAGGAGAAGGCTGATCTCGGGGAGCTTAATTTCTCGCTGTGTTACCTGCCCACTGCGGGCAGGCTCACTGCTACAATCATCAAGGCCACCAACCTCAAAGCCATGGACCTGACCGGCTTCTCAGGTAACGGATTAACACGCTCGTACACATCATGCTGCTGCGAGACCTTCAGCAAGTTCTGACCAGAAAGTCATTTCAAGGTCAGATATGACAGAAGACAGATTTAATGCTACATGCTGCTTTCCTCTTTGAGGCTGATATCTAAGTCTGGTTTATAACTGGACACACACTGTAAAACATCTGGCATGAAGCTGTGCAGAGATATTTACATACATTTTTTATCATATATATGGTGCCTCTGGAATAGGGAAATACATTATTTGCAATTCAGCAACAAATCAAAACCTTTTTTCCCCACCAATAGCAGTCTCAATTAGAGTGGCACTCAGTGAGCACACCGCTAAGGCCCAACTGTCCCCTTATGAGGCCACATTTAAAAGGGATAGTTCGTCCAAAAATTCACTCATTATCCACTCATCACTTTGCTGATGGAGGGGTGCAGGAACAGCATGGAGGCATTTTCAGTTTTTTTCTGTTTGAGGAATCTATCACCATTTACATAAATTGGATTGGATTTGGTTGCAGCGTTTACCCCTGAAACTCCAAAAGTGGTGAGTAGGTAATTTCATTTTTGGGTAAACTGTCCATTTAAGTTGACTGGATCTATATTTTTATTTTGATCTGCGCCAAATCACAATGTTAAAGAAAGTAGAACAAATTAATGAATTCATCCACTGATCTGCATCTGCACCAAAATCAAATGGCTTCTTCCTTGTGTCATGCCCCACCCCTCCACAAAATTTCATGGAAATTGTTTGCATAGTTTCTGCATAATCCTGCTAACAAACAAACAAACAAACGCTGCCTTGATGGAGGTAATAAACCAGTATGCAAAGCTGATACGAGAAACCCAGCATGTTGTGTTTCGCTTCAGGAATACATGTTTATATTTATTTTCTTGTCATAACTGTTTCCTCCTTCTACGAGTAAAATCATCAACTTTACGAAAACTGAGAGCGATTCCTCAAAACCTAATAAATCCCCAACTCAAGTAGAAATAGACGAAGCATGTTATACAGAAGGGCAAAAAAAAAGTAAATTACTTTAAATCTTTGCTAAATAAATCCTGGAATGAACTGAGCATCAGAAGATTGATCATTTTGTAAGAGAATCTTGGGGTAGATTTTTCCTTCGAGAAATAGAAGTAGAGTTTATACATCAAGAATATATTACCCAAAGCCTTAAACTTCATTTGTTATAAAAATGACATCCAGTAAAAATGTGTTTCCATATTTTGTTGCAACCACAAGTAGCTGCAGGTGGAGCAGCAATTACTGTACGTCTGCAGATATAGAGGGAGAAACATCGATAGTTTTACCCATGAGACACGACTGCTAATGCTAATATTGAATTAACAATGTTGTTATATAGAGGTTTTGTTCTTTAGTTACCTCTCACTTAGAGACTTGATGATTGCAACGGCCATGAATTCTAAGAAGAAATTAGATCTCAAATGATAATGACCATTATTGCCACAGCGATCCCAGGATAATTGCAGCTGCTGAAAAATGCAGGTTTGAAAATTGAGTCTATTGTGTATGTGTGTGTGTGTGTGTGTGTGTGTGTGTGTGTGTTTGTGTGTCTGTGTGTGTGTGTCTGTCTGTGTGTGTGTGTTGTCACTGAGCTGCACATGTTGAATGGATAACTAAAGTGATTCAACCTGCGCTGCTTTTCTCCCTTTGTGCTCTTAATCCAGCTTTGCCAAGGTGACTTGATTCTGATTTTCATGCCTTTTATGTTCCAGTCAGAGAAACCTGTGAGCATGATAGTGAACAGTGTTTGCAGGAGCCCCCCCACCACCACCGACTTATCTTATGCTCTGTCTCCCTCTCTTTCTTCTTCCTCTTTCTTCTTCGTCATTTCCTATCCTACCTTTCCGTGTTCCATATTTTTTGTACACTGCTCCCTTTTCTCTTCCATCCTCTTCCTCTTTTCCTCCATCTTTTGGCTATTTCTTCCTCTCTCTCTCTCTCTCTCTCTGTGCTTCTCCCTCAGACCCGTACGTGAAGGCCTCGCTGATATGCGACGGGCGAAGGCTAAAAAAGCGGAAGACCTCCATTAAGAAAAACACGCTGAACCCCACGTACAACGAGGCGCTGGTGTTTGACATTCCCAATGAAAATATAGAAAGTGTTTCCATCATCATCGCAGTGATGGACTACGACTGGTGAGTGAGCGGAGCCGTTATGATATTGTTGCATGCACCGGGGACTGATCATTACTGTACGAGTGGGCTGTTTATTGAATGTGTCTTTGCACATGCAGCACGACGTTTGCAATTGCATCACTCTCGTCAAATGTTGGTGGGGTGGCGGCAGTGTTGAACACGGCGAAGGGCCCCCTCATGAGTCAGCCTCCTGGTGGATCTTCCTTGTTTTACAAAGACGGGCACCTCATGAATAGGCATGGCTTATGCTAATGGTGTAAGAAGAAGATGTGTAAACCTGCCAGCGTTTGTCTGCTGCTCGCAGCAACACTTGGCTGGCTGATGTGTTTGTGTATAGATGCACCACCTCCCTATTATAGTCTGCCCTCCATTTGGCATCTCCATAGGTGTATGCTTTTGTTATGTTTGTGCTTGTGCCGGCTCCCCCTGCTGACATCAAGCTTTTACACAGCGCTGTGTGTATTTGTGAGCTGCTATTCAATATCCTTCCTCAGCCGCTGTACTCTTTTCCTAATACTCAAGGTTGATAAATGAGACTATCTATGCCTGTTTTTTACAAGCCCTGTCTTCCTCTCTCTCTCTCTCTGCTTTTTTATATCCTCACTCACTCTCCCTCTCCGGCCCCCTCCCTCTCATACTTTCTGCTCTGGCGTCTCTCTCTCTCTGTCTCTCTTGTCCATCCCTCATCCCTTGCTGCGTGTCAGTATTGGTCATAACGAGGTTATAGGGATGTGTCGTGTAGGCAGCGAAGCTGAAGGCCCAGGAAGAGAGCACTGGGCAGCCATGCTGGCTAATCCACGCAAACCCATAGAGCACTGGCATCAGCTTGTGGAGGTAATCAGCATACTATTGTGTGTGTGTGTGTGTGTGCGTGCGCGCGCTCCACTCTAAAGTATGATCTCATACCACATATGTTATGAGTGAAGCTTAGTGCTAGGCATATACAGATTTTATCATCTGTTTATCATTAGAAGTAGCAGCAGCAGTGATATTTGAAGAAGAGCAATAGTTGTAGTGATTGTAGTATTTAAATACTGGAACCATAACAGGAGCAGTGATGGATGAATCATTCACATGTAACTGGTTTTACCGTTATTTAATACATTTACTGTAAATACACAATGTGGTATCAGTCTTCTCATTGAACTCTCGGAACAAAGTGAATATGTGTATTTCTATTCAAGACTTGAGTAGCTGAAATGTACTAAGTTGCTTTTGTTTCCTCTATGTTAGTACTGACAATACTAGTACTATAGTAAAAGACAATTATATCATATGAAAGGACCAGTGTGTATGATTTCGTGACATCTAGTGTTGAGGTTGCAACCAAATGAATACCTCTCACCTCACCCTGTCCCACGTAGTGTGTATGGATATCCAAGGTGAAGTGAAACGTGAAAAGCCCTTTGTAGAGCCAGGGTTTGGTTTGTCCAATATGGGCTACTGTAGAAACATGGCAAATGGTTTATACCACATAGCCTCATACACCTTGAGCAGCAGGTCTAGGTTAGATTGCACCGCCTGGATCTCCATGTACTGAATGTCATTCCCCTACTCTTTACCTTTGTCAATGAGGTTATGTTTTCATCTGTGTTTTTTGTGTCTGTTAGTTGTGTTTACTGGGGGGCATTGTTGTTGTCATTGATTTCTCTCTGACTGTTATCAGGATAACTCAAAATCTACTGAGCGGATGAATATTATATTCCATGTCTGATGATAGATCCTACTAAATCCTACACACTGGACCTTTACATTTGTCAGTTATTTCAACCAAATCAATAAAAAGTGTTATTTTTTCATAAAGAATTGACATTTATGAAATCTCTTCTTTCCCTGCAGGAAAAAGCGATTGGTACATTTGTGTCGAAGACCACTACAGCGTCCTCCCCTAAGCCTCACATCGTCGTGGACAGTCCTCACTCCGATTAAAACTGTGAGCCTCCCCCCACTCTGGTGTTTTACAGCATTGGTTTTACACATTTCCAGTCGACAGTGTATCACCACTCCTCAAACGTTCCAGTAGCGCCTTGATTTCTGCTGGTAAAAAAAAAAGAAGAAAGCAGTCTCTGTGTTGGAATCCTAAAGTTCAGTAAGCATCCACATAGTGAGCAGCAGATGCTCTCCAGTCAGATTGACATAAGAAAAGTAGTGGAGCCTTTAAAAGCATGACCTGACTGTGAGTGTGTGATAAAGAGAAGGCTGTGGAGCTGTCAGATGTAGGCACTCTGAGGCAGAAGCATCTGTATAATCTAGATATTATAGGTTATGTAATGCTTCGCCCCCTCCTCCCCCAAACTTACAGTGCTGCATACTGTTTATATATTCTCTCGCCCCCCTACTGTCTCTCTCTTGCTTAATCTGCCTCTTCTCCCTTATTCCCTCTTTCCTCAGGTCATTACCATCTCTCCAGATCCAGACGTTTCTTTCGCTCCTCTCATCTGTGAATAATTCTCTCCATCAAAGAAAGAGAGACACGGAGACACTGCTAGTGTCCGACTGCTAGTTGCTGTTTTGCTCCTGCTAATGAATCCTCCACGTCCTGTGCCGACTTTACTGAGGCGGAACGAAAAAAAAAAAAAAGAAAACACACACATCTACCCCAATCTACACTTTGAGCATCAGACTACACATTTACAAACACACACGGACGTTAAACAGAACATCGGGGCTGACATCAGGTGTAGATTTGGGTTCTAGCACACACATTACACACACACACACACACATACACACTAAAAAAATACACAGCGAGTTTGTAGTATGTGCGTAGTTCATGTGTGCTTCACATTAGTGTAGTTTTTCATCTAGGAGGAGTGTGATGTGACAAACTGTTAAAAAAAAGAAAGCCATCATAGAATGGTCATTTCAACCAGGACCAAAGGTTCATGCCCTTGTACAGACTATAAAAGAAGAAAATCACTATGTCGATATTTTTCTTTGCAACATTGTTGTACAGTATAGATGCCGTAATGTACAGGAAAGCAGACATTTTCCTGCACAGTACGGACAAAGCATCCATGGAGGATTCTCACGGCCATTTTGGACGCCTTCTCCAGGCTCCGTACCCTCTGGTTTCGGACTTATCTCGCTTATTTTCCCCAGAGGAAAGAAGACGAAGCATCCAGCGGTCTTTATTGATGTCAGAGAAGCGAAAAATGAGAACAGACTCATTGGTCTAAGCATGTTACACAACCTTGAAATGTGTTCCTCTTCCATATGCGTTTTGTCACAGCCCACATGGTGCTCATCAGCATCAACTTTTATTCTTTTGAATGATTTTGCTCAGTCTTTTGCGTCATAGAGAATAAATTCAACAGGAAAGGAGTTTCTTCATGTCAGTTTTTAAACATCCACTGAGGATGAGATGGTGTAAGCTACTGAGAGACATGGACGTTTTTTGATTCTGGCCAAAGTGGCTGACTTTTCCTAATGTAGGTCTACACAGGTTGATCGCAGCCTGCGTTTAGGATCGGACCAGCATCTGTTTGGAGTGCACTCGCTGGACGATTTATCCCACAGGAAAGGATTTCACCACTCTGTTTTATTTTTCTATCACTCCAGGACTTATCGATTTCTTTTCTCAAAAAATAATCATCCAGCTTCAACTGAGAAAATTGTAATCGTCGAGTCCACATCATCATCGTCATCTGACAAGACTTTAGAAGGACACACACGTCTGTGTTGCTTTTATTAATGTGTGTTTCTGTGTTTGTGAGCGTGTTTGTTTTGTATTTGTGTGTTTGCGTATGCCTGGGTGTGTCACTGTGACCTTGTGTGTGACACGTTTCTGTGTTCCCCGCCTCCCTCGTCCTTTTTTCTGTCGTCGCCCTCACATCCCAAACTCCTGGCATCCACAGACTGAAACGCTTGTCTCGGAGCCAAACGTATCTCCTGTCCCGTGTCTTTACAAGGAGCCATTTTGTGTGTGTGTGAGTGTGTGTGAGTTTGTGAGAGAGAGCATGTGTGTGTGTGTGTATGTGTGTACTATACGTGCCTCATTGCACTAGGTGGGGAAACACTGTCTTTCATAGACATTAGTTTGTATTGTCTATGTTGTCTCAGCTGCCAATCATTCAACCCTCCTTTCCTCTCTTACCCTTTGCCTGATGTAAGTAACTGTGTTGACTGTGTACTTCTTTCAGTAATTTGTGTACTGTATGTGCGAGGGGGGAAAAAAAACTGATGGCAGAGTTGGTTGAAAATTAAATTGTTGGGTGTGAAAAAAAGCCTCATTTGTTACGGCCTACAGATCATGAGAAATTTAGTTCCCCTTAAAGCAAGACATCAGGGAGGAGGTGTTGTGAGGAAATAGGCGACTGGATCTTTCTGCACTTCCTGTGTAAACCGTTACAGACTTATAAAGCCATGTCTGTCACTGCTACTACGACTACTACCATAACCTCAGCAAAACAACAGTACAACACCTCACTACAGCTACTTGTATTGCTGTCGTTGCCCCCTCTCTCATCGTTTCACACCAAAAACACACACCGTTTTTTTGTCGTGGAGTGTGTGTATGTGTGTGTGTGTTTGTTTCAGGGGAGGGATCCAGTTTATTTCTCTTTACATTTGGACGGTGAAAGTGCAGGGAGACTTACGGGCGTGCTTGATCAGGTATTCGGGAGGTGACACATCCCGCATAATACCCGGCAAGTATTCAGCTGGGGGGTTATTGATCTGCTTGTATAAGTAGATATGGTATTGATCCATCGGACTCCAGGCCCCATAATTCTCTCCCTTTCCCCAGTCTCTCTCAGTCTCTGCTGTGTCTACCCTATTTAGCCCTTGTGTTACTGCCTGGTGATAAATTACAGAACTCATAGTGGAACCAGCACATTCCTTTATTCTCTCCCTCCCTCGGTTTGCCTCCCCCATCTCTGTTTCTGTCCGTCTGATTACTGTCTGATTACTCATTCTCTCCTCCAGCAATTCTTACCTTTCCTCCTCTCCCTTCACCTATTCATTTCTCGCTCTATTTTACCTCTCACCACCACCCCCTCTCCCCCGTTCCCTCAACATCCCTCCATCTTGCCCTCTTTTTCTTTCCCTCGTTCGTTTTTCCGTGCCTCCCCCCC